CATCTTGCTGTAGTGATTGATTACGATCGTGAACGTCACGTGATTTGGCATGATTTGCCTATCGACCATTTCCTTGACCAAGTCAACCGCCCTGCTCAAATTCCCCGACTTGCAAAACCCGTCAATCATTGTGTTGAACGTGTGTATCGAAGCAATACCCTTCTCCACCATACCGTCGAATAAAGACAAAGCCCTCTCCATATCTCCTTTCTTACAGCATCCATTGACAAGTGAATTGTAGACAAAAACATCGGGCGGGACCCCCTTAGATGACATCTCTTCCAACAAACCAAACGCTTCTTCCAAATTTTCCGCCTTGCAAAACCCGTCTATCATAGTGGCGTACGTAACCTTATTTGGCATCAAACCTTTGTCAGATAATCCACCAAACAACTCCTTAGCTCTCTCTATCTCGCCCGATTTAAAGAATCCACCAATCAAGGCATTATAAGTTACGATATTTGGATTTATACCCTTTTTGGACATTTCATCGTGAATCCTAAAAGCCTCTACCATACTACCTTGCTTACAAAAACCAGAAACGAGCGAAGTGTAAGTATAAACATCGGCCACCAAACCCGTGTCGGAGAATTTCGAGAAAATTCTCATTGCTTCGACCAATTTCCCGTTCTTGGAAAGGCTGATTATAAGTACACTATAGATATGCACATTCGGGAGTAAATTCTGTTCTAGCATGCGGTTGAATATCGAAAACGCCTCTGTCAAGTTCCCGTTTTTGCAGAGGCCGTCAATTATAGACGTATAATTGTATAAATCGGGAGCTATACCTTGATCGAGCATCTCCATGAAATAACTTTCAGCAAACTCCATATTACCGATCTCAATGTATCCGTTTATCAATCCTCCAAATGTGTAGGAATTTGGTATTAATCCCTTCTTTCGCATTTCAACGAAACAAGTTCTTGCCTCTTCCATTCTTCTTAACTTGCTAAGACCCATAATTACAGAGTTATAGCAGAAAACGTCGGGCGAAATGCCTTTCTCCCACATACCGTCCAAAATCGCCATAGCCTCTTCGAATTTAGCTTCTTTCACGTAACCTTTTACGATCGTCGTGTAGATAGCAACACTTGGTGCGATACCTCTTGCAGACATATTCTCCAATAAAAGATTGGATTTTTCGAGATCTCCGGTTCGGCTCAACTCGTTAATTATAGCACTAAATGTGTACGCCGAAGGTGGCAAGTTTCTTTCATTCATCCAAACGAGCACCTCAGAAACCTTGTCCACAGTACCCTCTTTACTATAAGCCTCGATCAAATAATTGTAAGTCTGGATTTCGGGTTTTATCCCCATTTCGATCATTTCATTTATTAAGTTCACTGCCCTCTCCATTTCACCAGCTTTGCAGAGACCGTGTAAAATAGCATTATACGTCACCAAATTCAACTTAATTCCACGAGCAACCATCGTATTCTTGATTTCGAAAGCTCCATCCACATCTCCCTCTTTCATGAACCCATTAATCAACGCGGTGTAAATATTATGATCCGGGTTCAAGCCTCTTTCACACATCTGTTCCAAAATCAACTTCGCCTCAGAAGTTCTCTTGTGCTGGCAAAACCCGTCAATGAATATCGCGTAAGTGTAATTATCGGGAACCAAGCCCTTCTCAGCCATTGTCGTTTTCAGCTCCAACGCCTCATCGAAATCTCCAATCCCACACAACCCTCTAACAACAACATTATAAGCAATCACGTTCGGTTCGCAGCCGCGCTCTCCCATTTCCGAAAGAACCCTTTTCGCCTCCTTCACATTCCCAGCCCTACAATGAGCTGTGATAACACTCACGTAAGTATACGCATCGGACTCGATTTTCTTGGCCGACATTTCCCCATAAACCTTCCAAAACAACTCCATCCGGTTGCACCTCAACAAGTCCTTCAACAGAGAGTTGCAGCACAGCAAACTGATCCTAAAGTCGCAATCTTTAACACCCAAAAACACACAAACGCACTCATTCCACATTGCCCTCTTCCTATACACATCAATCAAAAGCTCAAACGCAACGGGCCTCGATCGAAACCTCGGGCCCCCGCTGTAAACAATCGAATTCATCGAGTTCAAAACATCGGAAACCGAAACACGGGCATCAACCATTCTGCCCAACACATTGATTGCGGGCGCGTAGAGATTGGAGCCGCACAGAACAAAAGCGAGAATCGAAAAGGAATCGAGGGTTTGAGGGGTACCCAGATGCTGATTCGACCAGTTGAAGAAATCGAGGAGGCGCATTGGGTGCGTGGAGAAATGGGATCTTTGAAGAACTGATTGGACCACATCGGAGCTGAGTTTCGTCGGAATATGCGAAGATTCCAATAGGAATTGCCAGTTGTTGTGCTTCGACAAAACTCTGATGATTTCTTCAGCTGTAGCTTCGGTGTGTGGTGGTGGGGTGTGGCAATATTGCTGGGATTTAATGGAGGCGAAAAGGAGCCTGGATTTCTTGATTGTAGTGCGGATTCTGGGTGAGAACAATTGCACCATTTTTTTCGTGCATCTGAATCTCTGGGTTTTTTTTCTTTTTTAATTTCTCAGAGAGTTGTTTTTGCAGAGAAGATGTAATCAAGAAATATTGGGTTTAAAATTTTTTAGTGGGCTGAAATTGAAATATTGGCCCAATTTTGCTTTCCTTTGATTAAATAGTCTTCTCTTATTTAAAATCTCGAGCCTTTTTTAAAGGATTTTTTTTTTTTTTTTTTTTTTTGTGATTAATATTTTCTTTTTATAAATACCTTATTAAAAACTATTAAAAATTTACTAAAGTATTGAAGAAAAATAAACTTGTGACAAATTTCAATAACACAAGAAGAAAGTTAAAGTAGTAATCAACAAAATATTATTTATATTTTAGCATTTTTCGATGTAGATTCTTTAACCAACAAGATATTGATTCGAAAACCATGAGTAAATCGCCACCCCTGCTTGTTTTGTGATTACTGATGAGTGGCTGTTCAATAATTATTATTGAGTGATAGTTCTGTAATTACTTGTTGAGTGGCAATTATATAATTACTTATGAGTCCAGTTCTGTAACTACCGATAAATGGCAGCTCATTAATTATTTGTTGAGTGACAGTTATGTAATTACTTGGTGAGTAACACTTCTATAACTAATGACAGTTCTATAATTTCTTGTTGAGCAACAGTTCTATAATTACGATAATGAGTGGAATTTATGAGAATACTTGGTGGATGAAAATTCTATAATTACTTGATACGTAGTGATTCTAAAATAACTTTTGAGTGGTAATGTTGTATTATTCGGTGAGTGGCAATTTGGTAATTATTACTTCATGTCAGTTATGTAAATCATGTTGAGCGATAGTTCTGTAAGTACTCAGTGAGGAAGTTTTGTAATTACTTGGTGAGTGACATTTCTGTAATTAATGTCAAACGATAGTTCTGGAATTTTATGTTAAGTAGCAGTTCTATAATTACTTGTTGATTGCCAGTTCTATAATCACGATGTTGAGTGACATTTCTGTAATTACTAGATGAATGGCAATTGTGAAAATTACCTCGTGCATGGTAGTTCCATAATTACCCTTCTTTTATCAAATGAAATGAATTATCTTTACTTAGTATGGACCATCAAACCATAAAATCATCAATCCCTTCGCATGGCTTCACAAAGTATATCTTCCTTTTCCAATACCAAATGCTAAAAAAAGGACCAAAATTTTTGGGCACTTTTGTGCTATTACCAAATCATACTTTATGCTTTAATACTTACGGTATAAATCAGATGTATCGGATCGTAATTATCACTTTCCAAAAAATCGAAACATTTTTTTCTTGAAAATAAATAATTATAAAAATATGTGAAAATTTTGAAAATTATAATTAAAAAAAAAAACATAGTTCCAAAATCAGAAAATTTCCGGATCGAAACCGTGGAATTCGGAAATTTCATATGAAATTCTTATATTTTTTTCCAATTCTGAAAATAATTCCGAAAATTCTCAAAAATTACAATTATGATATGAGAATTATTATATATTTTATATTTTAGATGACTAAAAATTGGAATTTCTTTACCAAACGTACTCAAAGTAGCTCTCAATAGTGGAGGCATAATAAAGAGCCCAAGCCCACATACTAATGATTAAGTACAAAACTCGAAATGGGCCTATTAAATTGACAACAAATCAGCCAATAATAATAATTAATTAATTAATTAAAAATTAATAATTAATAATTAATAATTAATAATAAAAAAATAAATAAAATAGTGGGGGGTTGGGGGTGGGGGGTGGTGGTTCATCTGACGCACCTGGTCTACTTCCCTTTGTTACATAAGATTTAGTGAGGGGAAATAGGGTAGCATAAAATCTTTGAATAAAATAGTACAACTGCAACATATCTTTAATTATTCACATGTTATGGTCCCCATCCCATTTTGGTATATAATTTATTTAATTTTTATTTAAAAGTATATAATTAATATAATATATAATCCAAAAGTTTAATACATGATGATGCCATGCCAATGCAAAACAAATATCATCATCCTCAAAACAAATAGTGCCAATGTGTATATTTATTTTCCTACATTGTGTTTTCTTTTCATTTATTTGTTGGGAGGATGACAATATTTTTTATAATGAGTCGATTTTAATTGCATTTAAATGGTATCTACTAACTTGGAAAATATTGGTTTTTTTACAAATGGTAGGCGTAATTCGGAAAGGCTAAAAAAATGGAAAAGAAACGGAGTCATCGCATCAACATTTGTGCAAAGAACAGTGATGCGGCGCCGTTTGGTGATTGAAAGTGGGGCAGGAAAAAAGAAACATGGGGTCGAATTGGTGCAGTCCGCTAATAAAAGGGGCGAAATAAAAGGCAGAAAGTATAGGGACGAAAAAACGCGCAAACGCACACACAAACGGTGGGCGTAATTCGGAACTAATTAGGGGCGAAAAAATAAGTTCCAATTTCGTTCCAGAAAAAAAAAATCGGAATTTCGGAAATTGGATGAATAAACTTGTTTCGAAATTGCAAAATTTCGGATCGGATTCGGCCGAATTCGGAAATTTCCAACTTTTTGTCACCTAAAATGTAGAATACATAATAACATTGTTATTTGAAAGTGTAATATTTGGAAGAAAAAAAATTAGAATTTCCAGATTATTTTCGGAACTTAAAATCAGAATCTCATATATATATTTCAAGTCCGATCTAAATAATTTCAAAAAAGTCGTAACTTGAATGATCAATTTAAAAAAAATTGATTGATGTACTATAAATTTGGGGGACACAAATTAAAATCCTATACCTATATCTATATCTATAGCTATGGCTAATTCATTGGTTGGATTGATTATATTGTTGTGTCTCTTTTGTAAGTTAGTGAGAATCATGAATAATGTGGTGCCTCAAGATTGGACTTGTGCGTGTGTGTGGGATCTCAATTTTGATTCTAATGATATTATTGCATGCTTTGAATTACATATTTTGTGGCAAATTGAATTTATTTAATTGGAAAATAAATCAAAATCGAGAAATTTTATCAAATAGAATAATAAATTTGTTGTCAACATTTTTTTTATTTTTATGTACGAACTGTAGTTGCATTCGAACTTATTTGGACGATGAATTGCACGAAAAATTTATTTGAAGCAGTGCACGTGAAATTTTGTAAATATTTAGTTCAACTTCTTTATAAATTATGGTTAGATCATTGCATCAATGATTTAACCTAATGATATTTGGTCATTATTAAAAAAAAATCCATATCTATGGCATGGACAGTTAAATCGTGATTAACAAAATACTATCTATTTAGCGAATTATTATTATTATTATTATTATTATTATTATTATTATTATTATTATTATTATTATTATTATTATTATTATTATTATTATTATTATTATTATTATTATCTAATAAAAGTATTATTTTATTATAATATTTTCTTAATCTATTTAAAGTCATTTAGAGCAACATTTTGAAACCTCCATAATCTCTATTTTGCTTCATGAAACCCCATATATTCTTTATTTTTATATTAAATAGAGACTTTATAGTAGTCATATTTTATAGTTTATACTATAGAAAAGGGGACAAAGTTGTTTCATAAAGTGAATAAGAGAACTTACCAAAGTTTTCCTAGCTTTCTCAAAATTTTCTATATATTATATACACATATAATTTAAGCTCATGTTGTGTATCCGGTGTATGCTTCTACTTGAATATACAGTTTCGGCGAAATTACAGCAGAGATTATGCTAAATTTTTGTACCCCATAGACAATACGATCAGAACATTTATGTACCTCATTAGATAACGATGTCGTGAAATTCGTTCTGAGAGAGCGAACTAGTGTATGCACCAACTCGAGGGTAAGATTTTTTGTGTTTTCTAATTTGCAACCAATAGATTTAACTCATTATTTAATATAGTTGTCGATAACTACCGAATTCTTTACTCGAAAAAACGGTGGAAAATTTAATAATTATTAATTATTCGATCTCTATTGTGATTAGTTCATATGTAACATGTCCCTTTTGACATAAACCCCTTTTGACATAAACAGTGCCAACACACAGTTTGAAGTCTAATATACATTGGTTCCCATCATTAAATTAAAATAAATAATTAGGTCTTGTAGGAGAAAAATATTTTTTATATATATTTATATGTATATATATTTATTTTTAATTTTTTTTTTATTTCTAACAGTACAGTTGCTTAAACAGGATGGCACGAAGAAGTCATGGGTTGGCCAATTTGGACCCATACAATACCACAAAAAATTCGACACGTAAACATGGGCAACTATATTAAATTAGTTTTTTGAGGTAACTTTTTTTATTTTTTATAATTTATATTTTAGATTATCTTGCAAGAGTTAATTAATATTATAGTGGGTCGTGTAGGTCTGTGATTTAATTTTGTGTTGTACAAGAATTATATATGTTATTTTTCTGTCAAAAAAAAAAAAAAAAGAATTATATATGTTATTCCAAACAATCTGTATTTGTCAATTGTCATCTTTGAATAATAATAATAGATTAAAATATACATTTAAAGAAGTGTGACATGTGGAAAATGTGACACTTGGTTACTTTTGCTAGGAGAATATTTATTTATTTATTTTTAATTCTGCATTATTGGAGATGGACTTTAGTTAGTGTTAGACAATTTTTTTAACCCAAATAAAATAAAGTACAAGGAAATAGGATATATTATTTATACATACTTTTCCTTAACTTGCTAATATTCTTTATTTTTATTTTTATTTTTTTTACTCAAATATTAAAAGTTTGCCAATTAAATTATTATGTCAATTACAGATTGGTTGCCTTATTTTTTTTAACAAGAGATTACGATGCCAAATGATTTGAGTTCGAATTTCGACATTTTATAGGTCCAAATTGTCACATATGACTTATGCTAATATATAGAGTAAATTACAGCCAACTCCCTAATGTAATGCCAATTTATGAAAAAACTCTTCATGTTTGAGTAATTGCAATCACCTCTTTCAACTATGAGTCTTTTTACACGTCTACC